TCTAGCTCTATCCCTGATCATTTTCAGAACCTGAAGGCTCTATACGGACTATCTTCTGGTTCTCCTCTGGATCCATCCACTATCTCTTGTCTCTGTCCAGTGAATTACACTTGTGTTACTGGAGCAGGTAAAGCATACAACAGATACTTTCAGCATTATCGGAGCACGAAGTGGAAGCTTGGACGAAACACAGCGGACTTCTAAACAATGAACACCCGCAACTTGGAAGAAATGAAGTTGGGTTTAATGCGTTCTAATATTGCAATGCAAACCCATGATGTAATGACAGTAATTAAGAATAATTGAGTCATTGAATGCTCATTTCAGTAGATTTAATCAAACAAAGCATAAACATATTGGACATGGCCTCAAGACTGTAACCTCTTCACATTCTGTTGAAATAGTCAATTACTAGCCATATCTCACACATTGCTGTTTTGAATCATTAATGTGTGGATGACAGTTGAACTGGATGATAGGGCTGTGCAATTAATCGTATTTTAATCGCGATTACGATTATGGCTTGCGACGATTAGGAAAACAGCATAATTGACAAAATACGATTATTTTGCTGGGTGCGCTTTCGCCCCTCCCTAAAAGCCCACTCGGCCACGTGGGAGTGACATGTGTTGTGAGTGTTCAGCGCAAGCGAAGATGTCAGAACAAGAGCAGCAACTAGTTAAAAAGAAGGGTCGCGGGGAGATTCCCAGTCGATCGCGAGATGTGTCTAAAAATAGAACAACAATATTCTGTTTTATCGTTAATGTCCTGTAACATAATGTTCCCGTGCCAGAATAATGCACTTGAACGCATCAAAGCTTTGTGATTGGCCGGCCTCACCCCATGTGTCCGGGCGTGGCTGGTGAGCAGTGCACTAGTTCGCTGACTTTGTCCGTGTCAACAGCATGGATGGTCAACAGGAGTGACAGTCCGCACACACACAAGACCGCAATTATGGCAGAAGCAAAAAAGCCCAAAATATATAATTTTCACTCCGAGTGGGAGGATCATTATTTTTGTATCTATTCCAATTCAAAGTCCATCTGTCTGATCTGCAATGCGAGTGTGGCTTTATCGAAGAAGGGTAATTTAGGAGCGGCATTTCAAAACAGTGCACAAACGCTACGAGACGGAATTCCCTCCTAATTCTGTCCTACGCTCCAAAAGGGGAGGGGCCTGAGAGCACAGCTAAATGCACAGCAGTCCATTTTCACCAGGCCCAACAACAAGAGCAAGGCTGCTACCAGAGCATCTTATCGTGTCAGGCACGTTCTTGCGAAACACATGAAGTCTTTCAAAGACGGCACAGTTATGAAAGAAGCTTTCCTGGAGGCTGCGACGCGCTTTTGTGGGACAGTAAAAATAACAGCAGCATTTCAACAGGTTTTTGATATAATAAAAACTCAATTTAGATACCGTTATTAATCTGCTGTAAGTTTTAGTTTGTTTGAATTTATTCATGATAATTATTGTACAAAATGGTATAAGAATGCAAACATTAAGATATGTTCTGTTTAAATTGATTATAGTCTATCAGTTCAGAAACTAGTGTTGCTTGCATCCTATTTTAAAGGCATTTATTTTTATACTCTAATAAAATGCAACAAAAAATGGGTTTGATTCTATTAATGTTGTCTTTTTTATTGCACTGTTGCAGCAGATTACTGTGTAGCTTCAGATCTGAGTTGTCTTATTAGTAAGCCTAATTTATACTTTTGTAGCAACACTATTTTTATATAATGGCAAAGGAAGGGTTCTTCAGAGTCTTTTCTTTTTTTCCTGTGTCATATGTGGCAGCACTGCCACAAGCTCCTCTTCAGAGAGGGTCTTCAGTACAGGTGGCAATATTGTCACCTGCCTGCGCTCATCTCTGAAACCAGACCATGTAAACAGGCTGGTGTTTTTTGCAAAAAATCTTTAAGAGATGACATGAGCAGCCCTACCAGCATTTGCCATGGTGGCCTAAACATTTTTATTTGGTCTTAAATTGTAGTTCAACATTTATTTCCTGTTACTTCTGGACCATGACGGTTGGCCAGCCTTCAACGTTTAACTGAGTGGAATATGTTGAATATGTTTTACCAAAATGTTGGCTATATGTTAAGGAGTGTTCAGTAGGTTGTGACAGTGCACTGCAACATATTTGATTTAATTTATTTTGGTCTAATTTATTTTTATTTATCATATTAATATATGTTTAGTATGGTTTTGGAAGAGCGCTTCAACATATTTGTTGATCTTGTTTATTGGTAAAATATTATTTGTTTTAAAGTTCAATAAATGGTCAATGAATAATCGTCAAAATAATCGTGATATCAATTATTGACCAAATAATCGTGATTATGATTTTTGCCATAATCGCACAGCCCTACTGGATGATGTAACATTTATGCCATCTGCTGGAAAGAAGACGTATCGCTCTGTTGGCGTCGTTTAGACCAGGGGTCCCCAAACCCCGGGCCGCGGTACCGGTCCGTGGCTCATTTGGTACAGGGCCGCAGAGAAAAAAAATAATAACTTACATTATTTCCGTTTTATTTATTATCTGAGTCTGAACGATGTTTTATTTTGAAAACTGACCGGATTCCCTCTGTTACATCCGTCTCTGTCGCTAATCCGTTGCCGCTAAAATTAAACCCACAAGCTAGCAAAATGAGTAAAAAACAAACGTCTTTGGAAAGTTTATTTGCGAAGGGGAAAAGGCAAAGTGAGGACAGAAGAAGAGCCTACGACTTCCAAGAAAAAAAAAGCTGCATTTAACAGACATTACCAGGAGTCCTACTTAAAATATGGATTTATCGCGACAGGTGATGCCCGCGCACCAAGCCCACTTTGCATAATATGTGGCAAACCGGCTCTCTAATGAGGCAATGAAGCCTTCAAAACTGCTTCGCCACTTGGAGACCAAGCACCCTGCATTAAAAGACAAGCCTTCGGAGTATTTTGAAAGAAAAAAGCATGAACAAGAAGGACAGAAGCAATTCCTGAGGGCCACCACATCAACAAATGTGAGTGTACTGAGAGCATCATACTTAGTGGCTAACCGTATTGCTAAGGCTAAGAAGCCATTCACCATTGGTGAAGAATTGATCCTGCCCGCCACTAAAGACATTTGCCGTGAACTTCTAGGAGAGGCTGCGGTTAAAAAGATAGCACAGGTGCCTCTTTCGGCTAGCACCGTCACTCGGCGCATTGAGAAAATAGCAGAGGACATTGAGACACAATTGTTGGAGAGGATTAATACATCACCGTGGTACGCACTCCATGTTGACGAGTCTACAGATATTGACAACAAGGCAATACTACTTGTTTATGTGCGATATCTTTATCAGGAGGATGTGCAGGAGGATATGTTATGTGCTCTATCATTGCCAACCAAAACCACAGCCGCAGAACTATTGAAGTCGCTGGATGATTATATATCAGGAAAACTGAAATGGTGTTTTTTTGTCGGCATATGCACAGACGGAGCTGCTGCCATGACCGGACGGCTGTCTGGTTTAACTACTAGGATTAAGGAGGTTGCACCTGAATGTGAGTCTACGCATTGTGTCATTCACAGGGAAATGCTGGCTAGCCGAAAAATGCCACCGGAACTTAACAGCGTATTGAATGATGTCGTTAAAGTTATTAACCACATCAAAGCACACGCCCTTAACTCGCGCCTGTTTGAGCAGCTTTGTGAGGAGATGGACGCGGAGCACAGACGCCTTCTCTTATCCACAGAAATAAGATGGTTATCCCGAGGGAGATCGCTGGCCAGAGTGTTTGAATTACCAGAGCCACTGCAGAGATTTCTCTCAGAAAAAAGTCACCGCTGGCAGCACATTTCAGTGACGAGGAATGGGTCGCAAAACTCGCTTACTTGTGCGACATATTCAACCTGCTCAATTAACTCAATCTGTCACTTCAGGGGAAAATGACAACTGTCTTCAAGTTGGCAGATAAAGTAGCTGCATTTAAAGCCAAACTGGATTTGTGGGGACGGCGCATGAAGAGAGGTATATTTTACATGTTTCAAACATTCGCGGGCATTTTGGAAGAGACTGAGCCCGAGCTTTCATTCTCCCAGATGGTGCATGATCACCTGTCTTTGCTTTTAAAAGAGTTTGACCACTACTTCCCAACCACAAAAGACCCACGAACTGCCAAGGAATGGATCCGCGACCCATTTGTTAACAAACCAGGTGAATCAAGCATGTCTATGCAAGAAGAAGATCAACTGCTGGAGATCGCAAATGACGGCGGCCTTAAAAGTATGTTCGAGACAACAACTCTGCCGGTGTTCTGGATTAAAGTCACGGCAGAATACCCTGAGATTGCCACAACAGCACTGAAAACCCTGTTGCCATTTCCGACAACCTATTTGTGTGAAGCGGGATTTTCTGCAGTGACAGCTACCAAAACAAAATTACGGAGTAGACTGGACATAAGCAATACACTTCGGGTGTCATCGTCTCCCATTACCCCCAGATGGGACCGTCTCGTTGCAGAGAAACAAGCTCAGGGCTCCCACTGATTTAGCGTTAAGGTGAGTTGTATTTTTCATGTGACGCAGTCACATTGGATTAACCTATGGAATAACTACAGCATCGTTTTTATCGTTTTAATGCCATTGAAGACCAGTTTAGACCAGACAAAGACGAAGGTAAGCCATGTTAGCGTTGTGGGCTACCTAGCGCCACTTGTTTTGATGAACGTTTTTGTTGATAACGTCGCAAGTTTGTATCTTTCAGTGTTGAGGTGGGCACTGTTAGATTCTGTGTCTCCTTGCGATCATAAACTATGTGTTGGATGTGCACTTAGGATAAGTAATAAGGGAGCTAGGAGTGATTATTGGTGCAGTAATAGGTTAGCATTTTTCGCTCAGGGGTCATTTAGATGCTTCTTATGAGACTTGTGTTTTGTTTTGGTAAAAATAGTTTATATCGTCAGTTAGCTGAGATAATTCCCGTTAATCTGGTATAACACATTAATAGGTTCTTAAATATTAAGATCCCCTGAGACACAGTGTCGTGAAAAAAAAAACTAAAGTACCTCGCCGGCGGGGACCTTCGGGCTTAACAGGTTAAATGAGCAGTGGGTGATCAGCAGGTGAAAGGCAGGACACGGGAACTTGGTCCTGAGCAGATGTAACGATTATTAAATAAGAAAGTTGTCGAGTCAAGTGGTCAAAGAAATGAACATTTGTGATTATGAGTGAATCTGTTGCAGGCGGGTGAAATCAGGCTTAGGGAGTAACGTATTACATGTAACGGCATTAGGTCATCAGGGCACAAAATAGACAAATGTATTACCTTACAGTTACAGAAGCAGCTGACGACCAACATACTTGTGTCTTGAAACGATTATGCTATTTCAATCTTTTGTCACAAACATAGCAGCTCTATTCTTCCTCTCCTGTGTGGACTCTCATGTGTTTATTTAAATGTCCACTCTGTGAAAAAGCTTTCTTACAGACTGTACAGCTGTGTGGTTTCTCTCCTGTGTGGACTCTCATGTGTTCCTTTAAACTTCCACTCTGTGCAAAAGATTTGGTACAAACTGAGCAGCTAAAGGGTTTCTCTCCTGTGTGGACTCTCATGTGTTCCTTTAAAGTTCCACTCTTTGAAAAAGCTTTCTTACAGACTGAGCAGCTGTGTGCTTTCTCTCCTGTGTGGATTCTCATGTGTTCCTTTACATTTCCACTCTGTGCAAAAGATTTGGTACAAACTGAGCAGCTAAAGGGTTTCTCTCCTGTGTGGATTCTCATGTGTTTCTTTAAATTTCCATTCATTGAAAAAGCTTTCTTACAGACTGAGCAGCTGAATGGTTTCTTTTCAGCACTATGTCGTGGATCACTGACAGATTCATGTCTATTTTTCAGTAAGTTTGAGCCTGATGCAGGTTCTCTGGTCTCCTTCCATTCAGCACTGTGTTCAGCGTCAGGTTTAGAAGAGTCTTCAGTTTCAGGTTCAGAAGAGTCTCCAGTGTCAGGTTCAGAAGAGTCTCCAGTGTGGTCCTCAGTCTTTGGTTGTAAACTGCTCTCTGGATCTGAGTTCCTGGCTGGTTCTGGTCCTCGACAGTCATCTCCATCAGCTTCTGTTTCCATGTGTTCAGTTTGTCTTTGATGAGGCTGAGAGGACTGAGGTTTCTCTTCATCATCTTCACTCTTCACAGGGTCAGGAGTGAAAGTGGACTTGGTGATATCAGCCTCCTCCAGCTCTTCACTGATCCTGAGTTCCTCCTGTTCCTGCTTAATGTGTGGGGGGGGCTCTGGGTCCTCCTGGTCCAGACTGGTGCTCCCTTCGTGCTGGTCAGGGTGAACCTCTTCTTTAACCACCACCACCACCTGGACATCTGCAGAAAACAGGAAACACAGTCAGCACAAACTGTTAAGTGTTAGCATTTAAAAATCTAATCACCATTACAATGGGAGACATTTTTCAGCCCTAATTAATGCCTTTGTTTTTATATTTTCACATTATCTTTCTTTGTCCCACTTAATGTGTATTTTTGTTGTCTCAGTTCAACTTATGTAGCCCAGCCCCTTTGAAAATGAAAAAGGGTTTTTTCTTCTGGCGTAGCACTAGCTGCAATAAACAATGAATTGTATTTGGGATCGTTCACAGATACACCACGCCTACAGTATAGAATTAAAATACTCTGTTACAAATTAAAATCCTTTATTCAAACCTTATTTAAGTAAAAGTATGCAAGCATCATCAGAACATTTGACGGCACCTTCTTACGTAACAGTAATGATGGTGCAGTCAAATGTTCCCTGTCAGTGTTTAATTTATGATGTTTCTTGATTATTTCGGATGCTGCATTTTACTGCTGTACATGTTCAAAGTTGCCCTTGTATAAATGATTATAGATGAGGGAACCTGCTGAATATTAAAATATTTGTTTTTTATATACAGTACCAGTCAAAAGTTTGGACACCTTCTCATTCAATGGTTTGTGTTTATTTTAATTTGTTTCTACTTTGTAGATTAATACTGAAGACATCAACACTATGAAAGAACACATATGGAATTATCTAGTTAACAAAAAAGTGTTAAAAAATCAAGAATATGATTTGTGGCTTCTCTCAGTCAGCTTCATGAGGTAGACACCTGGAATGGTTTTCAATTAACACGTGCGCCTTGTCAAGAGACAATGTGTGGAATGACTTGCCTTCTTAATGTGTTTGAGACCATCAGTTGTGTTGTGCAGAGGTAGAGTTAGTGCACAGTGGAAAGCCCTATTTGACTGCTGTTGTAATCCATATCATGGCAAGAAGACTCAACCCAGTAAAGAGAAACGACCGTCCGTCCATCATCACTTTAAGAAAGGAAGAGCAAGAGTTACCTCTGCTCAGAGGATCAATACATCAGAGTTACTAGCCTCAAAAACTGCAAATTAAAGCACCTCAGATTAGAGCCCACATAGATGATCACAGAGCTCAAGGAGCAGACAATCTTAAAGGTCCCATGTCATGGCCATTTCTACTGATCATAATTCCATTGTTGAGGTCTATTAGAATAGATTTACATTGTTCAATGTTCCAAACTCACATTGGTTTCTCATAACGCATCTCTGTATAGTATGTGTATTCACTATCTGTCCTAAACGGCTTGTTGTTAGGCCTTCATGGTCCAATTGCTGCAAATATCCACTACTGAGGATGAACAGCAAGAAGAAGAGAATAGTTTAGGCCAAGAAACACAAGGATTGGACATTAGGCCAGTGGAAATCTGTACTTTGGTCTGATGGGTCAAATTAGAGATTTGTGGTAACAACTTCCAGGGGTAGACATTAAGGGTAAGTTGATTTTCATTATCACTGGCCCCACCATTGTAACCACTGGCCCAAGAGAATTCGTCCAAAAAAATCGACTATATAATAATGAAGAAAATGAACACATTTGTTGCAATAGTAATTTATTTACAAACTACATTACTACTATACTACAACATTTCAATCGTCAGTTCTTCCTCATTTTCCTCCTCGGTCGGTTGATTTTGCCGTCCTCCTGATGACCAGGCTGTAAATCCTGGACGTCTGGCTCTTGACCCCGACTGCCACCACTGCAAAACAGCTCTCTTAGCATCAAAGGTATCCAGACTAGGCCCTTCAATGGTCAGGAACATGACGAGTGAGATTTTTGGTCGACAGTGAGGACCTCCAGTCGCTCTTCACCCTCTTCATGCAAGAGAAGCCTCTCTCACATGCTGCGGTACTGTTGCCATTGTTAGGTAGATCTGGGCAAAGATGCCTAGGTTCTTAAACTTGGTCTGTAGATCACCTCTCTGGAGTATTTCCAGGAGAGTGTCTCTGAGGGGCCCATTCCGCATTCTTGCCCAGATTTGATAGAGCCTGTACTCTCCCAACACCTCAGTGACTGTGGTCCCCTCACGCACCAGGATGCTCTGGTAATGGTGGCACAGGGACTCAATATTTGCTCGTCCATGGAGGACAAAGGCTTCTTTGGACTCATCTGAGTTGTTCAGTTTTGGCCACACATTATGATCAAGAGCTGAGAATGTTTGCACAATGCTCTCGGTAGACAGCAGGTCTCCCAGACGGCTCAATATGTTTGGTAAGCATGTCTGTAATTTGCTTCCTGTCTGTAGCCAGTGTGTCTGTGGTGGTGTTTTTGAGCTCTACCCTTCTATAGGTGCCATTCATTGCATCAGCCAACATCTTCCTTTGCTGCTCTCCGGGCTCCAGACACAGCTCTGTAAGGCCATTGAGGCAGGCCTCAATGTACTGCACTGCCTCCCCTGGTGTCAGACTATCCTGCTGAAACTGGAGGCTCAGTGCCTTGAGAAAGTCCAGTGTATCCAGCAGGAAGTGCATGAACTGGACATTGGTGTGGCTTTTGAGGTAGTGGAGGATGTTCTTTGCCCTTCCCATCACTGCAGGTGAAGGTCGGGTTGTCCTCTCTGGGCTGACCTGGTCCTCAAAGTGGGCCACAAAGATTGCATAGCTATTACACAGGATCTGTGTTGCCTTGTGGATGTAGGGCAACCACCTGGACCCCTTCAGGTTTGTAGGCTGGAGGACCTTCTCCTCCATTGCATCTGCCAGCATCCTCAGCTCCCTCAGTGCCTTTGGAGAGTAGTGGTATTGTTGATGCAAATATTGCAGCACCTCCTGCAGCTGCTTCAGCCTCTGATTCTCTTTTATTGAACACCTAATTCCAGCCTGTGTGCCACACAGTGTATAGCAAGCAGGTGTCCAATCTCTTCCTTCAGCTTTGCAGCCACACCATTCCTCTTCCCCAAATTGACAGCAGCACCATCAGCGCATAGGAAAACCACCTTTTCCTTCCAGTTATCCAGACCTGCTTTTTCAAACACTGTCTGTACTGCAGAAAGTACACCATCTGCATGTGCGTGTTTGATATCCGCAATGCCAAGGAAGGACTGAACCACTCCTCTCTCCTTATTGAAGAACTTGACATAGACAATCTCATTCTCAAGGTTCCCAGTATCAGTTGCCCCGTCAATCATCACACTGATATAGCCTGCATTCTTTAGGTCAGAAAGCAGTTGCTCCCTCTCCACATTGTAGATATCAATTGTGAATCTGAAGGTAAAAAAAAGGGAATTTCATTAATAATGAAGGAATTGTAAAAAGTTAATTAAATAGTAAATTTGGAATGTACAGTATTAATGTATTTGTGATTCTCACCTTAAACATGCCTTGTCTGACAAGTAACGATTGGTCATGTTGGAGCCAGTCCTACTGTTGAGCTGCACCAGGTCCGGAAAGTCAGTAAATGGCTTTTCTTTCTTGACAACATAGTACGCTGTATGAAACATATTCTCCATTTTATCCTGGAAACCTGCATCTAGTTCACCATTAACATGAATCCCAGCTAACACAGCGGGTGTTTCGATTGCTGCCTTCTGCCTCCTCACACACACCTGGTGTGAGGTGCTTTTTTCATGCGGGTCAAACCCTGTGGAGCGTTCTGCTACCTGGCCCTTGAAGAGTGGAGAGTCCCTAAACAAGCAAAACAATCTGCTGCTTAAATATCATATGTAAATAGCCACTAGCTAGCCACTAACTAGCTAGGCCTACTATACATTTCTATAAAGCAATTGTTCATATTTGGTTTATTAAAATAATTATATTGTGGTCATTTAAAAAAAAATCCCTATAGCGAATATACCATAATATGTTCTACTCTTCACTTACTTGTCAGCATAGGTCGGCATTGATGTACAGAGCCGACAGAAGACCTTGTTTATATTGGCATCATATTCAAGCCAACTCCAACGATCAAGCCAGTGTGCCTGAAACTTTCTCTCCCTCTTCTTCTTCTCGTACTCCCTGTCACTCTCCTTTAACTCCTCCGGTGACTTTCTTTTATTTAAGGACTGTTTTTTGCCCGGCGCTTGACCGTGGTGGTTTTAAAAACATTTTGCCGAATGGTTAGGTGGCGCGAAAGTCTGTAGTGTGCGCGTGCATGGGCCTACTCTCGCTGCACGCGAACGAGAGCCTGCTCGCACTGCACTCTACTCCGCAACAAACAGCTGCAGAGTAGAGCGCGATGTTGTAGCGTTAATAAACGGAACAATCTAACAAAATTGCTTGTCAAAATACCAATATCACAGAACAATGTGAATGTATGTCTTACTGTTTTTAGTGGCCCGAGCGGGCAAGTGGAAAGTACGTTATGCTGGCCCGGGGTGTCTAAATAGTGCCTCCGGGCCAGCGGGCCAATTATAATGTCTTTGTAAGACGCAGAGAAGGTGAGCGGATGGTTTCTGCATGAGTGGTTCCCACCGTGAAGCATGGAGGAGGAGGTGAGATGGTGGGGGGGAGGGGGGCTTTGCTGGTGTCACTGTTGATGATTTATTCAGAATTCAAGGCACCCTTAACCAGCATGGCTACCACAGCATTCTGCAGTAGCCAGCAAAATATAAATCATATTCTGGATTGTTTAACACTTCTTTGTTTACTAGATAATTCTAGTTAATGTGTTATTTTATAGTTTTGATGTCTTCAGTATAAATCTACAAAGCAGAACCAATTTAAATGAATAAAAAACTTTGAATGAGAAGATGTATCCACACTTTTGACTGCGTCTAATACTAGTGCATATCTCTCTCAAAATATATATTCTGTGTGTATATATATATACAGAATATATTATAAATACATGTTGGCAATAATTGATTGATGAGATTTTACATTCATTTATATTAACGTTTTAATTACTTAATGACCTTTGTACTAGTTCCCCTGTTCTTTATCAAGTAACATTTTAGATGTGTTTAATTTATTATTGAACATATTTATTGATTGATTTCTTTATGAATTATTCTCACGCCATTTCAATTAATCCAAAGTATTTGTTTTTATTTGCTTTCACACATTTAAAAAGAAAAGGTGAATAAAGAAGCCATTAAAACTAAAGTATCAATGTATGTCACATTTAACCAACTAGAGCCTACATGTATGGGTAATATTTAAATCAGTACATTAAATGGCATATTATTCAATCCATGTATTGAATATATAATAATAATAATAATAATAATATATTTATTTTGGTAGGTTTGCTCTTCCGTAATACATTTTAATTATTATAATAAAGTACACGTGTCTAATAACACTTACATACTTTTACTTAAATAAGATAAACTTAAAGATATGAAATGCTTTAACTTGTAATGGAGGATTTTCACAGTGTGGTGTTTGCACTTTTACTTTTAGTGCTGATAAAGGGTCTAAAGTGTTTGTAGGAGCCATTTCCATAGATTAGATTATTGTATCTTGTTACAGTACATAACCTGAGATTCTGTGGTGTATATTATTTATTATTTAATTTGAGTGTGTTACTCTGCAGGTGGAGCTGCTGCAGCATAAAAGGAGAGGTGCTACTGGTGCGGCTGACTGAAGCAAACCTTGCTGGTTGGGAGCGTCACAGCTTGGTTCTTCTGCCTTTAACATTGAAATATCAGTTTATAGGACAAATAGTTTGTTTAAAAACGTTTATTTATGTTTGCCTTTTTTGGAATAAACCATCTTACATTTCAATCGCATCTGGACATTTATATTTTTTCTCTCAAACTACAAGCGTCTATTCGTCAGTCAGCAACAAACAAAGGACAAAAAACAAATAGATATCGTGGTCATTACAGTGTTATTAATGTGATAATAAAGTGTTACTGAAGAGTGTAAAGTGTTAATTAAGGGTAAAGGGAACATACCGGCTCTGTGTATCCGAAGCTCAGGCTGTAAAACATCGTCCAGAAGCTTCTGGAGTCTCTTGTTCTCCTCTTTGGAAAGAAACAGCTCCTCTTCGAGCTCTGCTATCGTTTTTTCAAACAGAGCAAATATCTCGTCAGCAGTGAGTCGCTGCTTCTTCAACGATAGCAGCATTTGGACTTTACTCATGTTTACTAGATCACCTTTCCCTGCAGACTCCGTTAAACACACCGTTTCTCTCTCCGTCAAACTCTCAATCTGACTAGCGTTGCTAACGTGTTTCCAGCTAGCATGCTAAGCTAGCTCCTATAGTCCGAGGTAAACGCTCGAGAAAAAAGAGCACAGAGTCCATTCAGAGGTTTATCCAAACACAGAGATGATGGATCAGTAGAGCTGCAGCTCACACGCACTTTCTCAGGAACACAGAGAGAGAACCGGAGCGACGAGACGCCACCTCGATCCAGGTTAGAAAGAGCTGGGAACTTCACTTCCGGTGCGATTTGAGGACGTCAAAATAAAAGCGGGAAGGATTTCTTCTTTTTGGTTTTAAGAACGATTGGCATCCGGACATTGCCTTAACACCTACTACTGGATCAATAATAAAACCACTCTTTCAAAACAAAACTACTAACAGAAAATACTCATAAAGGAAAAAGGGGAAATAAATAAACATCATTAAGCTAAACAGGTCGCAGTGCACAAATCAAATATCTGTATAGTGTTAGAAATTAAAATCAATGTGGATATGGCGTAATTTGAATTAAATACACTATTTAATTTAAATCAGTTTTATTCTGAAAAACCCGGAAGTTCACACTAACTACTAACACTTTTATTCTGAATTTTCTTCATTTCCGGTTAGCATGTGGCGAAATGCTACGTTTTCAAACCGTGAATCGAAGGTGCAGCAAATTCGCCAGTGTGAAAATCCTGGTGTTCGAGCTTTTCGGGGTAAAGTGTTGTGGTTTTGGTGTTACATTTAACATGATTAACACCGCCTGTTGTTAACACTAGTGATGGCGAGATGAAGCCTTATGAAGCTTTGAAGCTTTCCAGCCAATTGGTTCGCAAAAGGGTTCATCTCATGAGGCTTCATCATGGGCTTCATTTGAACACAAACCCCCTGTTGGTCAAAGTGTGTAAAACAGGCAGATTGGACATCTCAACAGTGTGCTCTATCTCATACCGAGTTCCCAATGAGTAAAGCCTTAGAATAACTCTAAACAACGAACATTAAATCATATTTTCATGTTAACAATATTGTTTTTATTCCAGTTGAATGATTGTGATTGAAAAGCCTAAGGAGGCTGGTAAACATTACAAATAGGGATTTGTATTCCTTAATAATATTCATAAACGTAACCATGTTGTAGCCTGAGAAAGGCTAAACCATATCAAAGAATACATTTATTAACTACATTATCTCATTTAGCTGTAGCTTTTATAAACAACAAAAAAGACGTATTGACGAGTCGTTGAACCAGAGACCCTGCGGTCATTCTGCTTTCCAGCTGAGCCACAGCACACACGCTGAATCTCCCTGAAAATACTGTAACATATTTATTCCTGTATTTATTCATTCATGTTTTTTTTCCTACATTTATTTATGCTTGTATCTATTTATACTTATGACATGTTCCGACCTCTATATAGGTGAGGGTCTGAGCTCTCTTGATTCCATCGTGTCACCGGGCCCGGGTACAGGAGGGGTAATATGGTTCTTATTATACATCCATTGGTATTATGAGCGTTGTGGTTCAACGGTTCAACCGATCTGAATCGCTTCCTGAAGCAGTCACGTGGTATCGACAGGCAGCGAGGCTTCGTTTGTCATCGATGACGTCACTGGCCCAAAACGATACAAGCCTCGGTACATGCTTCACAAAAAGCTTCGGGGATTACTCGACACACGCTCCGAAGCCTCGGCGCAATACGTAACATCACTAGTTAACACACTATATAGTACAGGGTTGGATCATGGTGTTAAACATATTTAACGATGGATAGTGTGTTCTTTCAATCCGGGTACATTTACGTGATGTGCGTGAAATTATTTAGATCTCCGCCATCTTTTTGATGCAACCATCAGTCTCGAGAGACCGCAGTCCGTGACGGTAAGTTATCGCTACGTTTCATAATTTGTTCCCCAGATAGCTTACATTAATTTTGCTTAAATACAGTTGTGTGTGGTAGGTAGCGTACTTTTAAATGTATTGTTTTCATTACTATCTTGCTAATTATTACTATTTGACTGTCATGACCAGGTGCAGGTGCACAGACCATACAGTCAATGCTTGCGTGCTAAACTAACTGTCGAATTAAACATGGATGTCGAATTAACGTTAGAGTAACATAATATGTAATCATTACGAAGACCAATGTATTGCACATGTCTATCGTTAGTTCGACAGCGAGCTAACAAGCTCTAGTGTCCGTAAAAAAGTTGTTCGATAATTGCCGCCTTTTTCTTTTCTAGCATTTTCTCCGTCAAGTCTCAGTCTAACGGAAGCAGCCATCAGTCCATCTTGCAGCAAGTGTGATCGCTTGGCCTCGCCCTCGACAGACTGCAGTCAGTGAGTGACGGTAAGTTATCTAGATAACGTTACATTTAATTTGTTCCCCAGTTATCTAACATTACTTAATTTGAAAATAATGTTACAGTTGTGTGTGTGGTAGCTAATAATGTTTGCTAGCTTGCTAAGAATATTTGTCTGTACTGGCCGTGCACCTGCTTGCTAAACGTTAGCTAGCTGGCTAGTTAGCTAGCCAGTTAGTTAGTTAGCTAGGTGGCTAGCTGTCAAATTAGACATGGATGTCAAATTAGATAACATTAGCTATGTTACATACTATTATGTCATTACAAACACCAACATATTGCACATGTCTAAAATTAGTTCGACAGCTAGCTAGCTAAGAGTTTCTGATGTCGGTCCTTATCAGTATAGTTAGCCGACTTCGCTAACAATTTTTTTTTTCCAATTTCCTTTCTAGCACTATCTCAGTGTCACCTAAGCAGCCATCAGTCCCCGTGGGTTTCGACCGTGTGGTCTTGACAGACCGCGTGACTGTAACGGCCCGTCAACACAGCGGCGTTGGAAGCTTCTTCCAACGCCTCTGCCCATTCACTTTGAATGGGGTGACGCCGAACTGCATTGTGGGAAGCAGAGCGGAGCTTTCTTGGCGTTTCAGGCTGCAAAAGTTGAGCAATGTTCAACTTTTGAAGCTTCTGAAGCTTTCGGTGGAAGCGTCAGCCAATCAAATCATATGCCAGTACAAGCTCTAGCCCAGTGCTTCTCAAACTTTTTTCAGTCATGTACCCCCTTTGAAACATTTTCTCAGCCAAGTACCCCCTGAACGACCCCGAAAATGTTTGATCGAAAAAGCCTTTACAAATAATTCCAATATAGTGATGTTCCCTCAGTGTGTGATTTATTAACTCCTTTACAACAAACTAAGGATATTTTCATTTTATGCTTTGATTTTTCAAAGGAGTTTTTCAACTGAAGTAATATCTGTTTAACAAACCAATGAACAAAATGATATATTATGCAAAACTATAAAATACAATACACACATTTGACATGTTTATATGAGGATCCCCCCCTTGGTGGTTCTAGGAATATTTTATATAAAATTGTGTTTTCTATTTAACTTATTGTACTAAGATTATTTTTGTAATCATGCATGGTATTTTTTTAATTAATTATTTTTTGTTTTTTTTAAATCTCACGTACCCCCTGCAGTACCCCAACGTACCCCTAGGGGTCCACGTACCCCCATTTGAGAATCACTGCTCTAGCCAATCAAACCGCTGCTTGTGTGTCAGGGGCGGGAGATTCATGTGATTGGTTATTGGTCGAGCTTCAGACACGCCCGCCGGCAAGCTTTTTCCAAAGCCGCTGTGTGGACGGGCCGTTAGCTTCCAACGCTTCTGCCCATTCACTTTGAATGGGGTGACGTCATTTTTAGCCGAACTGCATCGTGGGAAGCGACGCGGAGCCTTGCTGGCCTGGCTCGCTGCAAAAGTTGAGCAATGTTCAACTTTTGACGCCTCGGCAGAAGCGTCAGCCAATCGAATCATATGCCAGTACAAGCTCTAATTAATAAAACCGCTGCTTGTGTGTCAGGGGCGGGAGATTCATGTGATTGGTTGTTGGTCGATTGTCAGACACGCCCGCCGGCAAGCGTCAACGCATGCCGCTGTGTGAACGGGCCGTAAGTGATCTACGTTTCATTGAATTTGTTCCCCAAGTGAAATTATTTGTGTATGTACAGTAATAAAGTTGTTGGCTAAGTGGCTCCTTTTCCTTTCTAGCATGTGTTCTTCTGCTCTGTGCGGAAGCAGCCATCTTGTGTGACCTCGACAACAGACTGCATACAGTGAGTGATGATACGTTATCTCGATAACGTATCATCACTCACTGTATTCAGTATTCCCGCGCCTGCTGGACACTAAAGGATTGGTAATATTGTATTACTCCTACTTTTGCTTATTATGAATGTTATTTATTAGTAAATCTATTTTGATGGACGTTTTAAGCAACCTTCAGTTACATGGAGATGATCTACACCTCAGGGTTCGTACGGGTGCTTGAAATCCTTTAAAATGCTTGCAATTTGACGTGGTGTTTTCAAGGTTGGGAAAGTGCTTGCATTTTGGGAATGGTGCTTGAAATTGAGATAAAGTGCTTGAAAATGTAAATGCTTTACTTTTACAATAAATTGCTGTCTGGCTGAATAGTTCGCTTTTTAGATTAAAATAAAAGAATTGCTTCCATTCTACATAAAACAGCTCCGCTGCGGCCTTCCCGCGCTATGCGCGCGACCTGCAAGTGTTTGTGTTACGTGTGACTTGGGCATTCTGATGAGAGTGATAGATGACTGTGTGCCAGGAGGTTGCAGTTTCAACGAGCGTTGGCTAGCAGAAGACAAATACAAGCCATGGCTAAGGCGAGGGTCAAGCCCACGAGTAGCCTCCTGCAAAGTTTGCAAAAAATAATGATGCGAGAGTCTGCGCTGACGAGCCACATGAAAGGTACGCCGTAGTGGAGCATTTTAGATTAGGCTAACGTTGCATGTTACGTTTGTTTAAGCTAACGTTAGCGAGCTGAATAGTGAACTCGATGAGGGATAATAACAATTGCAGGGGACGATCATTTCAGAGGAGCGTACCTATGTTATGTGCGTTGCAGTCACCATCCTGTGGTGTTCAGAGGATGAAGCACTCACGGCATTTCGTGTTATAGTCACAAAATATAATCTATTGATTCGACACAGAGTGATTTTGAAAGCAATGTATTTCTACTGGTAGTATGTTTCGTGCCTAAACCAAATGTGACTTGATCCATCGAAATCAGTCACATTGACCCGAAGACACATTTTTTTACATTTATACAAGTAAAACTACATTTTGCTTTAATCCCATGTAATTGTAGAATGAACACAGTCTTCCTTTGAAGATGTATAAGTCAGGTGTCTTGAGCAGTCAAAATTACCTACAAAT